AAGATTTATTATTTGAAAGAGTTACAGAGAGTGGTAGAGATACAGAGGTCTTCCATCCGCTGGTTCACTCCCCAGATGGCTGCAACAGCCAGAGCTGTGCCGATCTGAAGCCAGGAGCCAGAAGCTTCTTCTGGGTCTCCCACTTGGGTGCAGGGACACAAGGACTTGGCCATCTTCTACTGTTTTCCCAGGCCATAGCAAAGAGCTGGATCAGAAGAAGAGCAGCCGGGACTAGAACCGGCGCCCATATGGGATGCCGGTGCTTCAGGCCAGGGCTTTAACCCACTACGCCACAGCGCCGGCCCCAGGATCAAAATTTCTAAAAGAAGAAATGGAAGTTAGGCTTTATAATTGGTTTATTTTGTTTTACTCCATTCTTGGTTAGTGACCTGTTATTTTCCTTCCATGGGGAAGGGAAACCAGCAGATATTGGGTGAATTAGAAGGGAGGGAAATTTTAAACCATTCAGATCCATAAAGGGTCAGCAGATGGGCTTTGTGAACAAGCCTGCTCTCTCTAGTTAACCATAGTCCCCCCGATTCTCTACAGCATTATATATCACTACATTGCTGGACTGTTTCCTTGACACCTGTGTAAATTAATTTTGACTCATGACATTATAGTCCAATGCTCTTGAAGGCAGAAACCCTGCCTCGCAGTCTGGATTGTCCAACACAGGTATAGTAAAGGAACATTTTTTTTTTCATCCTAAATTAGAAAGCAAGACATTTAAGAGAAAGGAAAAAGAAATATTTACCTTTTCCAAAACAGACATCTATAGAAAAAAATCCCATATACAAGCCTAGTAGCCAACTTTTCCAGCTGAGATGAATCTGAGAAACTATTTACTTCAGTCCACTTATTGGCAAATATTGAAGCGGGCTCAGAAGACTGGATGACTTAGCCAAGGCTTCGAAGAAAGGTGAGACGAGACAGAGTCAAGCCTGGGACAGGAACTGTCCACTGTCTGCGGTGATTTTTGCCCTCCTGGGGATGATTTTCAATGGGCAGGGATATTTTTTGAACATCACAACGCAGGGGGCTGCTACTGAAATCTGATAGCCAACAGCACACTTGACTTCTACCCATCTGACAAAGCACAGGACAGATCCCCCACAACAACAGCACAAAACTGAGGAATTCAGATGGAATTCAGTGCCGACAGTGAGTAATACTGGTCCAACCCAGGCAAGGCCTCTCTCCACATCCACTTCATCCTAGCACACTGCACTGTTTGTTGGAAGATTGATCTGATGATAGAGATGCAGGTCATTTTGACTTTACAGAAGCAGATCTGGACATGTTCAAGAGTGCAGTGTTCTGATCCGACTCAGGCTATGACTCATGGAACTGTGAAGAATGAAGTCTAGTTTGTATATCTTTCAAGGCAATTATCCCAGGGAGATATTTAATATCAGTCAGATGACTTCAAGACGTGTAGCTTTCCACAGTTTTTTCCTAAAACCTACTAAGAGCTCCACAGCTTACTGTCCTGTTTTTAATAATCTTTTTTTTTTTATTTGACAGAGTTATAGACAGAGAAAGAAAGGTCTTCCTTCCGTTGGTTAACTCCCCAAATTGCCGCTATAGCTGGTGCTGTGCCGATCTGGAGCCAGGTGCTTAGTCCTGGTCTCCTATGTGGGTACAGGGGCCCAAGCACTTGGGCCATCCTCCACTGCCCTCCTGGGCCACAGCAGAGAGCTGGACTGGAAGAGAAGCAACTGGGACTAGAACCCGGTGCCCATATGGGATGCCGGCACTGCAGGCGGAGGATTAACAAAGTGAGCCATGGCGCCGGGCCCCTGTCCTGTTTTTAAACCATAAAAGAAAATTCTCCTCAGGCTCATGTTCCCTGGGTCTGAGAGGTAGACAATATTTTAGAGGTTCTCACTTTGTCGGTCACATGGTAGAGAGGGACTAACAGGGAGACTACTGCTATGGTTTGCATTTGGTTTGACTGTGCACTCCTTCTCCACCCCACACCCCCCTACCTCAAAAGGTTCATGTGCTGGAAGCTTAGTCCCAGTGAAGAGATGGGTCCTAGTGATAGGGAGTTACATCATTGCCGATGCTGCCCTCAGAAGGGATTCTCTGTCTTACCACACAACTGCTCTCTCCTCACATGTGCTTCCACCGTGACACCATCCATTTTGTGACGTGTCAGAAGGCCCTCACCAGAGGCCAAACCAATGGGGGCTGCCTGTACTTGCAGCCTTCAAAACTGGGAGCCAAGGAAACCTCTCCAAGTTACCTAATCTCAGATATTTTGTTGTAGCAACAGAAGACTGATCAATATGAAAGCACTTCAAAAAGTTTGTGGGGAAAAAATGGGACGAGAAGATGTATATTTTGCTATAAAAATTCAAAATCAATGCATTTTTCACAACCTATATTTTTCATGAAATTTTTGAAGACCTCTCCCACAGTATTTCAGAGGAATAAAAAATCCAAGTTGGGTACAGGCATTTGGCACAGCGGTTCACAGGCCCACATACCATATCAGAGTGCCTGGGTTCAAGTTCTGGCTCCACTTCCAGTCCAGCTTCCTACTAATATGCATCATGGGAGCCATCAGGTGTTGGCTCAAGCACTTGGGTACTTGCCACCCACATGGGAGATCCAGATTGAGTTCTGGGCTCCTAACTCTGGCTGCAGGCATTTGGGGAGTGAACTTGTAGATGGGAGATCTATCTATATCTGTGTCTGTCTCTTTCTCTCTGCCAATCAAATAAAAATAAATTAAGCAAAAAATTGAATGGAGAAGAAATACGTAAAACGTGTTATATGAACTTGCTCATCTAAAAGTGTACTCTCTCTAAAATTCGTGTTTCTTTTCCACATTGATCAGGAGACCCAAGTTCTGTGTAGTTCTAGCAGGACTAAAAAACTCATCCCACTGGAGATAAAATTTTATTTTTCTATTACGCACTGAAGATTCCATTCGTGGTATTAGAGCAGAAGAGACAGTTTTTGAGCATCTTGTGTGGTGTTCTTTACAAGAAAGTGCACTCTTCCAAGAAGCCATGTACAAATCTTGTCATTGGGTAATCTGGGGAAACGGGGTGCCTTAGCAATTTCCTGGTCTTGTGAAATATAATACAAGGAATCTTCAAGAAGTTCACGCTAAATCTGTATTGTGAAAAAACTATACATGGCTCTCAGGATATTTTTGCACCAAAATGATCTTTTTAATCCAACTTCCAGGTACTTTTTGAAGCATATCTTCATGTATCTAGTCATAGAAGTGAAGTCATTTATTTATGAATAACATCAAGTCATGGAGGGTAGTTGCTGGGTTACAGATCCTAGCTCATCAGTCTAGTCCAATCCTGAGGTCTGTGTGGGGAAGAGAATGTGGATATACATCTGTCAATCCAAAAATGATGTGTTGACATCAACTTTCACTTCCTGACTTTTAAAGACCTTGTATTTTAAACTAAAATGAATTATTTCTCCACAAGATGAATTTTTTTGGTTATGATTTTTTCCTGGAAGCATAGAACTTCATAAAAAATACTTCAACTACGGTTATTTTACCCTGTGTTTTCTGATGTAAGGAATCTCCTCTATCACTTTGAAGATTTGATACTTACTTTTTTTATTTTATGCTAAAGATTTTTTGTTCCATCACATCTGCTATGTATTTGTATAAATTGCTCCAAATATAAGCCAAATATAACTATTTATTTGAGAGGTAGAGTTACAGACAGTGAGAGAGAGAGAGAGACATAGAGAAAGGTCTTCCATCCCTTGGTTCACCCCCCAAATAGCCACAATGGCCAGAGCTGTGCCAATCTGAAGTCAGGAGCCAGGAGCTTCTTCCTGGTCTCCCACATGGGTGCAGGGGCCCAAGGGCTTAGTCAACTTCTCCTGCTTTCCTAGGCCATAGCAGAGAGCTGGATTGGAAGAGCTAGAGTGACTAGAACTGGTGCCCATATGGGATGCTGGCGCCGCAGGCAGGGAATTAACCTGTGTCACAGCGTTGGCCCCAATTAACATTTTAAAATTCACACTATTTCTTCTTTTCAGTTCCACGCTAGATATCACATTCTGTTAGCTTTTTTGATTGCATTTTACAGAGGAAATGTCTTCAGTTCACCTTTTCTTATATCATTTTTCATATACTAGCTTCCAATATACAGACTGTGTTCCATAGGTTGTATTGTTATAGTGACAAACTCCTTGGACACATGTGTTCTTACATTTTTGGTAGGGGAGGGCGGATCATGTTCCCTAACTATAAAAATGTTTTGGGTATTCATTCCCAGTAGGTACAGACTTAGCTGTTCTTTCCTTCAGTTAGTGATGTCTGTTAAGCACCTGCTGTGTTCCAAAACAGGGTTAGAGTAGCCACTTCCCTATCCTAAAAGGAACAGTTCTTGACTCTACGAAGCTTCACTTTAGTGAACAGGGACACAGGTGGTCTTTGGAGCCAAACTGTTATGTACAATGGGAAAAAAGTGGGTTTGGGTCGAGGCTGATTTTAACCCCCGGAGTACGGTAAGAGAATTAGAAACATCCAACTTTTAAAGGCTGCTCCAAAATAGTAGCAAGTTAACCCCATCAGTAATCTAGCAACCTGTTGACACTTCAAGAAGGTCTACTTGAGGGGTCGTTTTTACAATGGCAAGATTTTATGGATCTCTTGAAACTTCCATGAAAGAGGAACCCTCCTTCTTTTCCCATTGAATTTTACCCAATCTTTCTCTCTCCCTGGACTCTGAGGGGCTGTATTCAGGCTTTACCTCTTTAAATACAAATTCATCTATCTCATTCATGGTTGTTGAAATACATAGGTTCTCAAAATGATTTCTTGTTGAGGAGACATGGTAACAGGTCCATTTACTGCCAAAGTGCCCTGCACAGGTGAAGACAAAATGGGCCACATCTTGTTGAGTGATTGAATGATGACAGAGGAAGAGGGCGTCAGAGTGTCATGTGAGGGGAGAGATGCAGTCCCCCTACTTAGGCTGCTTGTGCTTTCTCATTTTCCCCTGCAGGTTAATCGGCACAGCGACCGTGGCCTTGAAGGATCTCATCGGAGACCAGAGCCGATCATTGCCCTACAAGCTGATTTCTCTGCTAAATGAAAGGGGACAAGATACCGGGGTAAGCTTTCTCCTCTTGTTGTGTGTCCTTGAAGTCAGATGGTTGGCGATGGTACTGTAAGAATCTGGATGGATGATTAACTCATCACCCTTAAAGCAGACATTTGATCTTAAGATATTTGGGTCCACTTTCAAATGATGGGGGCCTTATTCTAGACTCTCAGCCTCAGAGCTAGCAAAGTAGATTGGATTTTCTATGACAGAATCATAGAGTGAGTATGGGTAAAGCTCTGTGCTTATCCTCATGGCATTACCATTTATGTGGTTCTAGCTCTGGGTATCAGACACTCCTTGAAACATTTGGTGGAAGGCTATTCATTAGCATTATCCTGAAAATTAAGAAGTTAACATCATGATCATTATTATTGCATGGTCAGCTGACTGTTTTCTTAGCATGGCCTCTCTACACAAGTATATACGGATGCTATCTGATGTGAGAGCAGAGTTCTGTTTCTTACGTGTACTTTTAAGAAATCAGCCCTAGTGTCACAGGTTCTAGGTTTCATCTGATGACTAACAAGCTCTCCTAAAGCTTCCATGCTTGGTCCATTGCAACTAATTCCTTCATTTTCCAATCAACGTGTTTTGTTTGGAAGCTTGGGCAAAGGAAGAGAGATTTCCCCTAAAAAAGGGCAACCTCATGGGAAAAATAAAGGCCAGGTTTCTCATGGTCCATGAGAGAATATCAGTGTTGCTGACAGCATCTCCAAGACTACAGGTTTGCCATGAATCAGCATTCTAATCAGAAATGCAAAATTTGGAAATGTCAGCTATCATCTCTCTCTCTGCCGAAAACCTGGCTGAGAGAAATGACACTTAGGACAGATGGTATAAATCAGTGACTTTTCCCACTGCCTTTTACTAAGCACACAAGAAAGCCTGTGAGGAGCCTGAAAATAACACAATGGCTGCAGGGGAGTGGGGGAAGGAGTGAAAAGGGCCTCAAGCTCTACCCCTTGGGATTGCCCTCACCCCTGCTGGGGGGTCCCAGAAACACCTCTGGGAATTCTAGGGTTAACTTGGAAGACAACATGAAAACCACTGACCTAAGAGATGAGCCATCGTGGGCTCTAATAGGTTTTATAAGCTGGGTTCTTAGATTAAGTTTAGCAACTGCACCCCTCAGTGCTCACAGCATTCCATCTGCCTGCTGTAGCCCTCACCCTCAGCATAGGCAGGCACAAGACTTCTCCAAAGATTCCTAACATGCCATGAAGTTGTGAATGGGGGAGTGCTTAATATCCCGTATCTCTTACATCACTGGTTCTGTCACAGAATGGGCTCTTTGATGAAGGAGTAGTCATCAATGAGCAGACACATAAATGGAAAAATGAAGGACAATGCTGTGTATGTGACCAGCAAATAGAGCAGCAATGCTCATTTTAATTTGAATATCAGAAAAATAATAAATATTTTTAGTGTAAATTTATCCCAGAAATTACGTCCTATATTTTTTCTGGTAAACTGCTCTGTGTGTGTGTGTGTGTGCACATGCATGTGTATGTCATTCTTATTTCCAAGGAACTCCTTTTATCCTGAAATTTTTCTTTCTGCATTTTTGGTGTTAAAATGCCTCTCTTTTATGATTGTGATAGTATATGGTAGTTGTGGGTATGTGTTTGGCAAAATAAGTTATTAACTCTATCTTGATTGTTTCTCTAGCAAAGTTTTTTTTTTAAGTCTCATAGGTTCATAAAATAGGTATAAAAAAAGAAACCTCACGCTTGGGAATAACTCTCTCGTGAGGCAGGAGATGGAGGGTGCTTACAAGTTCATACTTGCTGCTCACAGCTTTGCTCTAGTTCATGAAGCTTTCCCTTAGCACTTGGCAATCTGGACTAGGCAGCGCCTTCCACACTGCATGTTGGCTCTCTTTAGGAAGATAGCAAACCTCTCCCTTTCTTGGTCTCTCTTACTGGTTCCTCGTTCACTCCATCCAAGACTTTCCCTCCTGCTGAACTGATGTGCATGGAGTATACCATTCCAGCGCCCTGCACTGATTCTGTCTGCAATGACTTATCTCTCCCCAGGCAACCATTGACTTGGTGATTGGCTATGACCCACCTTCAGCCCCCCATCCAAATGACCCAAGTGGGACCAGCGTGCCAGTTACGGGAGGTAAGCCGATCCTTCCAAAAATGCAGCCCACACTCAGGGAGGATTTGCTAAAGACACACAAGGAGGGTTCCAGAGGGAGCCTGCCCTGTCATTACACTGTGTGTGGCTTCCTATCCACCTAGACAGGGGCATTGCGGGGCAGGTGGAGCAGCCCAAGTTGGGACAGTTGCAGCTGTGTATAGAAAGCCCTTCAAGGTAAAAGGGGAGGGTGAAACGGTCCTTCACTGAACACCTCACAGCAAGCCTGCCCCGTGGACAGACTCCTGCAGCCTGGCCCGAGCGTGGCTTTCCTTGGAGTTTATAGTGTCTACCTCCTACAGCATTGTCCAAGTGTGAGGCTCAGGAGTGGTCCCATTGCCTCTCCCATGTGTCCACTCTGCATGGGGCTGAGGCGAACAGCTCTGGGGTGGACTTTAGGACTCTGGTGGAGGAAGGGAATATAAGCTATATTTGACTTCCTCGTAGCATTTTCCAGGGTGACGTGATGGTAAGCCTGTATCTGCCCCTCTGGTCTGAGATGCCCTGCTGCTTCCCCACCCTTAGCATGTGCCTCAGGAACAGAGAGACCCTCACCCCTCCACACACACCCACTGCCTTGACGATTATCCTTCCCGGAAGAAGCCCTGACACTCGTTCCTGCCGAGTGTGGCTCCTCAGGTCTCATCTTCTCTTTGTCTCTCTTGATTCTGAACTCGGCTCTTTGGCCATCAAAGTGATCTACTCAACACCGGCTGCAGAGCCCACCCTTCCTGTCCTATTATTTTGCCTCAGCCTAATCCCAGGTATTGCCCCTGCTCAGCCATCCAATATTAATGTTTCAACCCATTTCTTGACCAAGTAGCTGGGAGTCTGTAGTACCAGTAAGCTGGCCTCCTTTTACTTGGTGATAGTTAAGCCTGACATAGCCCCAGCACATCAGTAAAATGCTCTGTGTGTTGCCCTCTGCCCAATGGCACCATAAGCATCTTGCTTGGTCCTTGGACATTTAGCCCTGTAAGAATCCTGCATTGGCTCCAGAACACTCATGGCTTCCACAGCAGCGATGACAAAGAAAACACAGAGGAGACTGCCCCATACTGGGCAGCACACCCTCAGGTGCTGAGCACAGAGGTCTACCCATTTCTCTCCTGCCTTATGTGCTGGTGACTGTTGTCCCTAGCACATGCATCTGCCAGGGGAGGGAAGTAGATGCTTCCTGGCCCACATATGACAGCCCCAGCTGGTAGGTATCAGGAGTAGCTGCTAAATTGGAGGATCAGGCACCTTCCCTCACAAGGTCATTTTTCCCAAGCCAGACCCTGTTTATTGGTTTCCTTGGGTTGCTGTCATACAGTACCACAGCTGGGTGGCTTCAACAACAGAAATGTAAGCTCTCCTGGTTCTGGAGACCGGAAGTCTGAAATAAATGTGTCAGCAGGATCAGTTCCTTCTGGAGGCTCTGGAGGGAAAGTCTGTTTCCCACCCCCCTCAGATGCTGGTGGCTGTTGGTAGGCAGTCATTGGTCATAGGTGCATCCCTCCAATCTCTGTCCCTGTTGTCACACACCATTCCCATGTCTCTGTGTGTCTGTGTCCCAGTCCTCCACCAGTCCCTGGACTAGGGCCCACCCTAATCCAGTCTGACCCCATGTCAACTTGGTTACATTTTCAAAGGCCCAACTTCTGAACAAGGTCATACCCTGAGATTCTGGGTGAGCATGGATTTTGGGGGACAGAGTATTCCCCCTTTAGAGGAAAAAGCACTGTGGCTCATTGATGTAAAAAGAGTCAAGTGACGGAGAGTGGTGCCACACCATGTAAATATTGTTGGAGTGGAAATGGAATTGGCTGCTGGGTTTGTTGAGCGCATTGCTGGATGGCACAGGGCTCGGCTGATGAGTGCTTTGAGCCCCCGCTCCTGTCCTCCAGGAACTTTCGTCTAGGTTTGGTGACAAGACTTGATTTTTATTCTGAGGGTGTGACGTTGTGGATAACAAAGGGGGTTTGGGGTCAGCCTGGCATAAAATGGATTCTGTGTCTTCTGTTCAGTAAGTCACTTAACTGCTCTAAATCTCAGCTTTCTATGCTGGAAAGCCAGGATAACCACATCAGTTATGTCATAAAGTTGTGTGAAAATTAAATGAGATTGTGTATATTTAGCCCAGTATCTCTAAAATCAAGTACTTACTGTAGTCATTGCTATTAATACAAAGCAACTCCAGGTGGTATATAAGTATAGCTTGTAGCACACACTGTAGGTCCTTCAAATTGTTTCCTGTACACAGCAGAATGTTTAGAAACAATGACCTCATTTGGTTCGCAGTTGAGATGACCAAATGCTTTCTTTGAAAATACGTTTTGAGAAAAGTATTTTGTCCAGTGGAACAGATTAAAAAAAAAAAAAAACCAAGCAACTTATGCCATTCAAAATGTAGGGGGTAGAGGAGTCCTGTCTCCTAGATGGATCCATATGGGCCCCAATCCAGAAACCCAAGTGTCAAAAATACACAATTTCCTTGCAGCGAATTTTTGCTTCCTTAGAAATGAGAAAAGCACCACCTCTTGAACTTTTAAACCCACTGGGGAGAAAAATCCTTGCCATCTACATCTCCCTCTGCCCGAGGCTCCTTCTCTTGGTCTCTCTGTGTAAGCGCTGATGCTCTTGGCATCTGCAGACTGAGTCACCCACACCCAGGCTCCCAGCAGGGTCAGCGACTGGCAGTTGGTCAACTGCAGCCAAGGTCTCCCCCAGAAGTTCTTCAGAGTCTGTGATACTGTTGAGTAAAGAGAAGAAATGAATCAGAACTTGGATCCTTTGTATCTGGATTTCAAACAGAGTGTTACCAAGTGCTGGCCTGCAAATGAGCTCACTATGTAGGCAGGGCAATTTGATTTTGAAGTGTGACATGACAAAGTAAAATTTCCTTATTTAAAAAGAAACTGAACAGCATTCTGTGATCTGGAAATGTGGCTTGGTTCTAGAAAATGAACATTCGTCAAGGCTGGGCCAAGGGTGACATTCTGAATACTGGCTTCAGAATCTGGCTTAAATGCTGGAGAAAAGTTTGTTTTATTTGTTTGCTTGTTTGTTTATTTAAAAGGCAGAGAGACAGGCAGAGAGGGTCCTATTACTGGTTTATTCCTCAAATGTCTGCAATGGCCAGGGCTGAACCAGGGTGAAGCGAGGTGTAGGGAACTTGGTCCAGGTCTCCCATGTGAGTGGCAGGAACCCAGTTACTTGAACAATCACTGCTGCTTCCCAGGGTCTGCATCATCAGGAAGCTGGAGTCAGGAGCTGGAGCCAGGAACCAAACTCGGATACTTCAATATGGGATGTAGGTGTCTTAATCATTAGGCAAAATACACTCCCCTGTAATTTTTTTTAACTTCTCCAATATCGTTGATTATATGGATGTCTCAAGGGAGAAAACATTTAACATGATAATTCACTTTAACTGATCAAAGATATCTTTGAGCGTCTACTGTAATTCCACATTAGTGAAGATATCAGGAAAAATAAAATAACTTAAAATCTTGGGAGAAATAGGACCAAAAAACATGAGACAGAATTAGCAACAAGACAGCCCTACCTCTTGGCATTGCATGCCTTGGTGACAAGAACAAGACACCTTGCCCAGAGTTTATTTTCCTTTAAAGTGACTTTTTTTTTTTTTTGACAGGCAGAGTTAGAGAGAGAGAGACAGAGAGAAAGGTCTTCCTTCCATTGGTTCACCCCCCAAATGGCCGCTACGGCCAGTGCACTGCGCTGATCCAAAGCCAGGATCCAGGTGCTTTCTCCTGGTCTCCCATGAGGGTGCAGGGCCCAAGCACTTGGGCCATCCTCCACTGCCTTCCTGGGCCACAGCAGAGAGCTGGACTGGAAGAGGAACAACTGGGACAGAACTGACGCCCCAACCGGGACTAGAACCTGGGGTGCTGGCACCGCAGGCGGAGGATTAGCCTAGTGAGCCGTGGCGTTGGCTCCTTTAAAGTGACCTTAAAAAAAAAAAGCCTTGTCATTCTACCTAAAAATAATGTCTGTTTCATATACACACACACACACACACACACACATATATATATATAAATTTTTTCAAATTTTAAAAATTTGAGCTTGGTTGTCTTTTTTTTTTTTAAAGATTTATTTATTTTTATCTGAAATGCAGAATGACACAGAGAGAGGGACAGAGAGACACCTTCCGTCCTCTGGCTCACTCTTCACATACGTGCAACATCCAGCGCTGGGCCAGGTCTAGGCCAGGAACCAAGAACTCCATCCAGGTCTCCCACATGAATGGCAGGAGCCCAAGTACTTAAGCCATCACCTGCTGCCTTCCTGGGCACACTGGTAGGAAGTTGGATCAAAAGTGGAGCAGCTGGGGGCTGGCACTGTGGTGCAGTAGGTTAATCCTCCACCTATGGTGACAGCATCCCATATGGGCGCCAGTTCTAGTCCTGGCTGCTCCTCTTCTGATCCAGCTCTCTGCTATGGCCTGGGAAAGCAGTAGAAGATGGCCCAAGCACTTGGGCCCCTGCACCTGCATCAGAGACCCAGAAAAAGCCCCTGACTCCTGGCATTGGATCAGCCCAGTTCCAGCAGTTGCAGCCATTTGAGGATGAACCAACAGAAGGAAGACCTTTCTCTCTGTCTCTCCCCTCTCACTGTTTGTAACTCTGCCTGTCAAATAAATAAAATTTTAAAAATGGGATGGTGGGGACCCAAATTGGCACTCTGATAATGGAATATTAATGTCACAGGCAGTACTTGACTCACTGTGGCACAACACTGTCCCCAATCTTTTGTGTATGAGTACAAAATAATTACTTACTTATTAAAGCATAAACATCACAGACATACAAGACACAGAGTAGAAATCTGTGAGTGCTGTCCTCCTGAGGTAACCACTGTCAGCTACTGCTGATCTTGATGTTAAACGTTCCCATCCACACGGTGGCTCCTGCAAGGGAGACATTGGAAATACTAACGATAGAGCACAAAAGTGAAGGCTTTCAGGAGTATTT